AGGAAATAGGTTGTTATCTCCTTATACGGTCTTGGGCAATCCTCACTTCTTGGGAGGTTCCATAAAAAAAGCCTCACTCAGGACAGTGCTATCGTGCATGTATTAGCATCCATGGGCTCTATGTTTAAGATAAGATTACCAAAGCTCACACTTTAATCTCACTTTGAGCCTTTCTTTTTTCTTTTTGATAATTTACTTTTGTTCTCATTCGTATGCCTTTTTCACAAATCTTAAACTTTATTTGCAAACATAAAAATTCTTTCATGCCTCTATTTTTTCCATTTCCAAATTTCTTAATTGTGACCATTAAACAGATTTTTCAGAAAGGTTAAGGGAAAGAAAGATAAGACCAGTGAAAGAAGTGAGTACTAATGATAGAACCAATGATGATGCAATGCAAATCAAAAGGCAAACATTAAACTAGTAACTAATACCAACTCTTCAATTTAGAGATTCACGATTGCTCAACATAGAAAACGAATACCATGAGAAGTGTGCAATATAATGATATAAGCAGATACCAACTTTTGAATGCAAAAGAAGGCCTAATACCACACCTTAAAATCTGCTAGCAATCGCTTCACAGCATGATAAGCAGGATCAGCGGTACTTTCAACCACAAAAAGGAACTCCAAAGGACCACCATAAAGAGAAGTGATCTGAGCCATTCACAATGGGAACATAAGCAGACCAAGCAGACTATAAATTATCTGGACTAAGTGTGAAAAAATGGAGCACGTAATTCAAAGTTTTTGTCATAGATCCAAACAACATGAATATGAATAAGATACCAAACAGAGATCTAAAAGACACAAAACTTTTTTTGATGAAGAATAAATTTTTCGTTAAGAAAGGGCAAAACATGCCCACATACAAGAAGTATACCAAAAAGTAGAAACACCTCACAAAAAGACTAAATAACAAAACTATTAACATGTTACTATCCATTATGCTGTAATGCGGGCTTCTCAGAAGCAACAAGTAAGATATTAGGCAGCAACCTGAGATTATTTTCAAGCAGGAAAAGGCCATAAAGAATTGTAGCATAAACGTAAGTCAAGACTTCAAGTAACTCAGCTTAATTGAAAACTCAAAGACTCCCAGCCAAAAGGTTTCTTATTGTATACCTGACTTCTCCAATTGTGTAGATTGTGCTCTCCAAACCCTTTTAAAGGCATTACAACTGAGACTGGGGGCAAGGTGACCTGATTTGAATGCTCAAGGTCATTGATATCCTTTGTAAGGAACGCAAAACTATTGCCACATCTCATACTATCCTTCATGCGTCGAATCTCCCTGCCCCTACAAAAAGAAACCAAAAGCTGCATGAAAATCACTAATTTCAGAATCCATTACCTACGCCAATTATAAATTATCAGCAAGAAAGTGTGCACCATAAACACTCTAGATAGATTATAAGATCTCATACCTTACATAAGCAGCTAAAGCCCATCCAAGAGCCAATATTAAGCAGATAAAACATCCCTGCAGATACAAAGTCGCATAAAATGCCAAAAAAGATAGATTAAAAAATGAGACAGGAAAGTACAAAAGTGTGAGTAATATGGTTTTTCTTAAATTGTCAATTACGGATCAAATGATAAAATCACACACTGATAGAACATGGAGAAGTTTAGCAGATGAAAGAGATTTACTCATGTTAAACATATCACCAAACAGTGATAAGCTGAGGATCCACTAAAAGTAAATATTAAAAATAATGTTGAGAACCCATTAACAGACAACTGCAACTTTATAAATATGTTTTGTTTGTCTTCAGGCACATTAAACCTTTTTATTCTCATCCAAACAAGAGATACAGAAGACAACCTTAAAATAGATAGATTATTTTTATTAGTAACCTCCAATAGATTGCTTTCATGCACTTTATAGTATAAGCCACCATGACTTGACATAATTTAAACCGTTTACTCAACAATCTGCACCCTAATAATTTCCCCTTTCCATTTGTTAGATTTCACAATTCACACTATAATTGCCTCCTGCAGTGTGTTACTGTAGGCATCTACTTTCTTGGTTTATCCATGAATCTGTCCTATTAAACCCAATATGAAAGGACATTGAGCTATAAACACGAATGAGCTATTTTTTTTCAAATTCTTTCATTATTTTTTTACTAGTCTGTGCAAAATGAATTTTTTTTAAAAGCAACTTGTTGCAGTCATTCATGAAAGGGCATTAACGAAATTGCGTACCACCAAAGCAGACTTTCGGAATAACAACAATAACCCAGTGTAATCCCATAAGTGGGGTCTGGTGGAGGGTAGGATGTACGCAACCTTACCCTACCCTGGAAGGACGGAGAGACTGTTTCCGATAGACCCTCGGTAATAGAAAAGGCGGCAGACTTTCAGAATAAAAGGGAAAGAAATAAAAAAATGATTAGAGAAATGTTGTCTACTGCTATGGATTGAATTGGAAAAACAGATCGTCAGCTCTGTCAAGCATCGACTAATATCCTTAATCTGTCAACAGTATAAGTTTACAATGATTAGAGACTCCATTAGCTACAAATATTGAACTCCTTAGCCAATTAGGGCTTGAATAAATTCCACAAAGCTCAAAATTTACTGGTTTTAAATGGATTTTTACACAAATAGCCGTCCATATTCATTGTTTAATTTTTCTAGCCATATACAAAGTTTATACATTGATTATACACATATAATACACAAATTATGCATATATTATATTTTCCCGGGCTATTTTTAGTTTAAGCAGTTGGGTGGGCGGCTATTTGGGTTAATTAAACGGTTTAAATAACCATCACCGACATCACACCATGAAACACTTGAAGCGGCCAAAATGGAGCTTAAGTGACCATCATTTTAAAATAAATGGAGAATTCCACATGAAATTCATACTTGAAGCTTACAGATAGAGAGTGCATATAAACTGGAAATTCATTTTGTCACCAAGTCCCTAATTCTAGAAAGAGTGCTTTCAGGAATTAAGCCATGTAATGTGCTACACCCATCCACTAGTCTAAATTGCCAGACTGATTTACAGAAACAAGATGGTTCTGCCTTCTACATCAAATAAAAAACAAGTACTCTTTTTATCTTGGCAAAACTCCATGACTATAGATAAATCCAAGAAGAATACGCTTGTCAATGGCTCTCAATTCTGAAGTCTGAAGAAAATTAACTGAGGAAAAAAAAACTCCCAAACTGCGAACTACCACGAATGCAACATAACACAAATTGAAAGTTCAAACTTTTGTAATCTTATCCTTTTCCTCAGCATTATATTAGCAACGAAATTGTCCATCAAAAAAATATACATTAGCGAATTTTAATCCACGTAAATAATGAAATAAAATCAAATTTTAAGTCTAGTCCTTAGATCTAAACCGTGCCAAATCTAAAACACATCCTATAGGCAATTTATTTCCAAATTTTCGAACAAAAATAAAACAGCTAACTAATCTAAAACGGAAAAATAAGCAGCGAATAAAACTAGCAGCTAATTCAATAAAAAGTAAAACGGAGCAGCGGAAAACAATAAATACCTGGATCTGAATAAAAACCGCGAGGGGACTACACAATGCTCTGCTAGCAGAGAATAAAAACTCATCGAACGAATCAAGCGGCAACATTTTAATTTTTATTTTTTCAAAAAATGTATGAGATATATAAATATATATATATTTATATGTGTGTGTGTATTTGTTGCCTGTTTAAATTGGCGCGTGAGAAGTGAAATGTGCTAGGGCAAAACAATATAATGCAATGCCCTAGATCTGAGAGTAGAAATTTTGTATATTTCAGTAGTGTTCTCTCAGATCAATCACCATGGAAGGGGAATAAGAGAGAGAAACACTAAGAGAATGAAGAAAGAAAGAGAATGAGGGGAGAAATGAAAGGAGGAAAAAGGAGAGATTGTGAGAGACCGCGTAATTTTATATTTCGAAGGGGGGAAATTGGATTATATCTCTTATCCCTCGTACCAAAGGAGCCCGAAGTGGACGGAGGTTCTTGAGTGAGTTGCTCATTATTGTGTTGGCCCAACTCAACGAAGAGTATTTGGTGAAGAGCATTGTTTTGACGGGGAAAAAGTCTAGTTGACAACTAATAATTGGAGATAATTTAAGTGATTTCATCACATGATGCATGTGATTGAGTCATTTCATCCTCTAGTGATGCACTATGACTTTGAATTTTAAATTTATTATCAGAGATGACGTCGGGATTTAAAGTTTATGAATTCTTAAATTATTGTGTTTAAATAAAAGTGGATGGGTTTGGCCGAAAACGTACCTTGACTTCTTGTGACATAAATTTACTAAAGTTGAAAATTATTATTATTTTAATATAACATTATATGAGTCGAATAATTCTTGAAATTGCATCAAATTAATTAGTACAATCATATAAGATTAAAAACACTTTTTTTCGGACAGGGAGGAGTTGTACCGTTGGTAGTTATATGCAGGGATCCTCTCCAATGGAGATTAGGCGCGTGCGAATTTGCACGTGGTGAGGTGTTTGTAGTGTCCTTTTCAGACGAAATTATGATGCAGCACACATTGGATGCAATATTCTATTCATGTGAAACACGTAGTTCCAAATAGTAAATGTACATTGGACCCCACCACCCTTTTATCCATTTTTATTTCTTATATTCGATCCACACACCCTTTTATCCATTTTTATTTCTTATATTCGATTTTCAAGATTTGGTCTTAATTTAGTCAAGTACTATAAGGAATCTCCAAATAGTTTGAAAACCAATTTCCAGGATCTTTAATTTAATAAAATTTATAAACCAAACCTTAATTTGGAAACTAATAATGTCGTTATCGTTATTAGCTTGCACGCATCAAATTAAAGCATGAATATTAAAGCACATATATAAATTATGAAGCTAATATTGGTATGATTTGTATAATTATTGAAATCCCTCCATATAGTCTTATAGGTCGTGAATCTAAGCACGAGAAATGAATAGCTTCTTGGTACGGAGCATTTTACTCCCTTTAGTGGAACTATCGGACGCAAATTCAAATTAGTCAACTCAAATCGTTTTCTACCATTTATTCATCTTTATCTTCACATTGAAAATAATGTTTACAATTTCTTTCTTTTTTTATCTCAAATAAATGAAATATTTTCTTAAAACTTTATTTTAGGAAAATTTGAATTTTGCATTTCTCACTACAATTCTTGCCTTTATAACATGTCATTGAAAAGGAACTTCGAGGTTTGTTTGGATATTGGAGTAAATGAGCTACCTTTTCGGCTTTTCCCTTAAAATCAATTTTTCCTATAATGTAACTAATTAATAAACTTTTATTTCAGGAACAACTTTTTTTCTCAAAAAGAAGAATAATTATTGGTAACAAAAAGAAGAATAATTATAACAGCTTGAATACAAAAGGGAAGTGGTTGATCATGAAAAGTACAATATCCAACCAAAAACATGGGGAAAATGTCTACTTCTATTTTTGTATTAGTTTGAGTTTTCGTATAAATGGTGATAAAGTTTTTGAATTAAAAGAGAAAGTTTATTGTTTTAAACAACAACAACAACTACCCAGTAAAATCCCACCAAGTGGGGTCTGGGGAGGGTAATGTGTACGCAGATCTTACCCCTACTCCGATAGGGCAGAGAGGTTGTTTTCGATAGACCTTCGGCTCAGAAAGATGGAAATAAGAAAAACAAGAAAAGACAATTCATTAGTAACTCCAGTAGAAATCGTAATAGTAACAGAAGCATAACAATCAAAAGATGGATGACATGCAATAACAGTAACCAGGCCCGGGGCTCATATAAACAGCAAGTATAGTGTGTATTCAACATAAACTGCAAGCCATCTAAGGCCAACCCTAATCCAACCCCGCCTTACCCTCGGAAAGAAGTAAGAAAAGTTCTACTACCCCCTAACATACAACCCTAATGCTTGACCTCCAGACCTTCCTATCAAGGGCCATATCCTCGGAAATCCGCATTCGTACCATGTCCTGCCTGATCACCTCTCCCCAATACTTCTTAGGCCTCCCTCTACCTCTTCTCGTACCCACCACGGCCAACCGCTCACACCTCCTTACCGGCGCATCAAGGCTTCTCCTCTGCACGTGTCCGAACCATCTGAGCCTTGCTTCCCGCATCTTGTCATCCACAGGGGCCACACCCCACCTTCTTCCGAATATCTTCATTCCTAATCTTGTCTATCCTAGTGTGCCCGCACATCCACCTCAGCATCCTTATCTCCGCTACTTTCATCCCTGGATATGTGAGTTCTTAACCGGCCAACACTCTGCCCCATACAACATGGCCGGTCTAACCACAACTCTATAAAACTTACCTTTGAGTGTCAGTGGCACTTTCTTGTCACACAAAACCCCAGATGCAAGCCTCCATTTCATCCGACCCGCCCATATACGGTGAGTGACGTCCTCATCGATCTCTCAGTCCCTCTGAATCATCGACCCAAGGTACTTGAAGCTATCTCTCTTCAGGATGACCTGTGATCCAAGCTTTATGTCCCTGCCTACTTCCCTCGGCTCAGCGCTAAACTTGCACTCCAGGTACTCTCTCTTAGACCTGCTCAATTTGAAACCCTTAGACTCGAGGATCTGTCTCCAAACCTCCAATCTCGCGTTAACACCGGCCCTCATCTCATCAATTAGAACTATGTCATCAACAAATAGCATACACCATGGCACATCCCCTTGAATATGGTGTGTCAATGCATCCATCACCAAGGCAAATAAGAACGGGCTAAGCGCAGAGCCTTGGTGTAATCCCATAACAACCGGGAAATGGTCTGAGTCGCCTCCCACAGTCCTAACCTTAGTCTTAGCTCCATCATACATGTCCTTGATCGCTCTTATGTAGGCTACCGGCACGCCCTTAGCCTCAAGACATCTCCAGAGCACCTCCCTAGGAACCTTGTCGTACGCTTTCTCCAAGTCAATAACACCATGTGCAGATCCTTCTTCTTATCCCTGTACTGTTCCACCAACCTCCTTACAAGG